TGAAGGACTGATCTATAGGGAGTTCAATCCAACGACATAGTTATCAACGCATAATGATATAACATTTCCGGACATATTTCTTTCTTGATAACCTCTCTGTTTTTTTTTCTATAAGGCTTAATGACCAACATATCACAATTAATTGTCAGGACTTAACTTTTGCAGACAAATAGACAGAAAGATGGACAAACAGGCAGGTAAACAGCTCGCATTTATAGACAAAAAAATATACGACCTCTTATCATCAATTACAAGGGCTTAAAAATAAAATATGATTGTATTGTAGTATATTGTATTGAATATAGTTAAGGTACAAAGTAGAATTATTGTTAATTTTTGTGATAAAAGATGATCGAATTCTTAATAAAGTTGGCTAATCTTTTAATTAAGATTTCACAAGGATTGCAGCTATTTTCGTATAACTGAATATTTCCAGTGATATATGTAAAGACTTAACTGGTATCTATTGAGCGTATATCCTTGTAAAAGACCGATTTATTAGAACCATTACAATACCAACAGATGTATACGTATCTGCATTTAAATGATTTATATATATATATAACTGTGTCTCTTAATTAGGTAAAATATAGAATCTGTATGAATGAAATCATAAGAAAAACATAGCATAAAAGTAAACTTCGTTTCAATATTTTCAAATGATACATCAATTCATTAAAGATATATTTTGTAATCTGAAAATCTTACTTGATCTGCCTCTTATGAAAGGTAAAATCTAAATTAAACAACTCGCCACCTTACTTTAGAATTTATTCATCTTTTAGCAAAAAAAAAAAAAAAAAAAAATGTCAATATTTCTATTGTGTACCTTAACTCTATTACAATACAAAACGATGCTATCATGTGCACATTATTTTTTAGGTCCTGTAATTAATGATAAGAAGTCGTGTATTGTTTAAAAATGCATCCTGTATGCCTGTCTGTTTTTCTTTATCTCTCTCTGTCTGTCAATTTGTCTGCAAAACCTAGGCCTTTGCAATTAATATGATATGTGGGATATGTCGCCTAACAGAGAAAAGGGCGAGAGAATAAGAAAAAAATAAGAAAGAAGGCAGAGTATGAAATATACAGCTACATCAAATGTTTACAGATTGACGTCACATCAACAAGTGTATCACAATCAGTGACTTCTTTATTTATTGCTATGTACAGTAAAATTGAAATAACAATAAAGTTTTTTTTTTCAAAAAATGATGTATTTTAATACACTCCATAGTAAAAAAAAATCAAATCATTATTGTTACATTTTAAAACTGTTGATTTTGTGCATGATTGATAAAATTTCCTGAAAAGAAAAAAAAAACATTAACACTGTTTAAAACCTGAACTGGGCACCATGATGATCGATTCTAACAGTTGCATTTAACATTAAGTAGAAAAAAAATTATTTAGTTTAGCTCATCTCTGCTTTTAAAATGGAAGTGTTCATAAGAAAACAATATTAATATCGAAATGTGCTTGGTATTTTTTAAAAAGTTATATTTAACAATTTTAGTTCGGTAATTTGTAACTTCAGAAATATGTGTCTTTTTTATTGCATTCAATTGTTGCACAAGTTTTATATAAATTCATTGTTTGAGAAAAAGAAATATAAATATTCGCCACAGTTCGAAAAAGATATCACCATTATATTTTAAACTTAGATTACAATTTCTATTTCCCTTATTTATTAAAAGAAAAAAAAAAAACAAGAGGCCCAGGGGCCACATCGCTCACCTGAGCACATCAGCTAGGAAAAAACACATATCAGATCAGAACTGAAATTTAATTTAAGTTGGGGGGGGGGGGGGGGGTTGAATTTTAACCCCCAAGGGGATCATAATTTGAACGAACTAAAATCTACATTACCTGAGGACGATTCCGTACAAATATTACTAATCCTGGCTTTGAAGTACTTGAAAAGAAGATTTAAAAAGGTTTCCCTATATATTTCTATGTAAAACTTTGGTCGGCCATTTTGACCACACCCTTACCCCGGGGTCATGACTTGAACAAACTTGAATCTGCACTACCTGAGGATGATTCCACATGAGTTTCATCTTTCCTGGCCCAGTGATTCTTGAGAAGATTTTTAAAAATTTTTCTTATATATCCCTATGTAAAACTTTGATCGGCCATTTTGACCCCGCCCTACCCCCGGGGATCATGACTTGAACAAACTTAAATCTACACTACCTGAGGATAATTTCACATGAGATTCATCTTTCCTGTTTCAATTGTTCTTGAGAAGAAGATTTTGAAAGATTTTTCCTATATATTCCTATGTAAAACTTTGATCGGCCATTTTGGCCCCGCCCTACCCCCGGGGGTCATGACTTGAACAAACCTGAATCTACACTTCCTGAGGATGATACCACATGAGTTTCATTTTTCCTGGCTCGGTGGTTCTTGAGAAGAAGATCTTTAAAGGTTTTTCTTATATATTCCTACTTAAAACTTTGGTCGGCCATTTTGGCCCCGCCCTACCCCCGGGGGTCAGGACTTGAACAAACTTGAATCTACACTACCTGAGGATGATTCCACATGAGTTTCATCTTTCCTGGCCCAGTGGTTCTTGAGAAGAAGATTTTTAAAGATTTTTCTTATATATTCCTATTTAAAACTTTGATCGGCCATTTTGGCCCCACCCTACCCCCGGGGGTCATGACTTGAACAAACTTGAATCTACACTACCTGAGGATAATTTCACATGAGTTTCATCTTTCCTGTGTCAATGGTTCTTGAGAAGAAGATTTTAAAAGATTTTCCTATATATTCCTATGTAAAACTTTGATCGGCCATTTTGGCCCCGCCCTACCCCCGGGGGTCATGACTTGAACAAACTTGAATCTACACTACCTGAGGATGATTCCACATGATTCTAAATCATGATTATCTCCCCTTGGAAAAGGGCGTGGCCCTTCATTTGAACAAACTTGAATTCCCTTCACCCAAGGATACTTTGTGCCAAGTTTGGTTGAAATTGGCCCAGTGGTTCTTGAGGAGAAGATGAAAATGTGAAAAGTTTACGACAACGACTACAACAACGACTACAACGACGACAAACTACGGACAAATTTTGATCAGAAAAGCTCAATTGAGCCTTCGGCTCAGGTGAGCTAAAAATTGTGTATCCTTACTTCTTAATGTTTAAGACATTTTAGCAAATATGCTTTGAATACTTTATTTATTTCAGAAAACAAACAAGAATTCCTCCTTATCTAAGTTAGGTACATCAGAGCATCTGGTAAATGTAAACCCCTTTTTCGCAAAAATTAATTAATCTATTACGATACATTCATAGATTTTATATTGTTATACGTGGTTAACATAAATACCTGCAATAAATGCTAGTATTTATATCAACGCTTTAGCGGGCTGGGTGGTTGTAGACTAAATTTATCTCCTTAAGAAGATCTCCGTAAAAAAAATAAATAAAAATGAACAAATTTCAAAACTATATGATACATATAGTTTTGACATGTTTACTCTCCCGATTGAGGCGGGAGTCTACCGTTTATCACTCCATCTCCCGCCTACCGATTTAATTCAGAAATTTACCGCTTTTCTTCAAAAGGTGCGTCTATATAAAGTATTTTTGGTTCGCTTGGGTATCCATTTTTGAAGCCACTCTCATAAAATCTCGCTAGATATCGCGTGATTTGACTCGGAATCATACAAACGCTTTTTTTGTACATAGATTTCAAGCACGGATTTGACACCGACAACAACACAAGACTACCAGTGATTACATTGATTACGATAAATTAATCAACATCCCTGCCATGAAAAGGGAGATACAGCTTTTAAGAATTAGATGAAAACATTTGACATCGTCTTTAAAAGCACAGAAGCTCACAACTTTATCAATAAAATCAATAGAAATCACTCGATTGACCAAGCCATGTGGCACATCTCTACTTTCGTTTTCGATCATCGCGGGAAATGTATATAACGAAAAATAGGAACTTGTTTTAGATCAAGATTAAACCATGTCATAATTTGTTTTGTTTAAAAACTGAATGAACATTCAGAATTATTGCTTCTAGGCTATATCAGCAAAGATCACTCTTCAAAAGGCTAAGTAAAGCAGCCAATCCAAGCAAAATGATGAGCATGAAAAATATTTGAATTTGTACAATTTATGTCAAAGTTAAGGTGTTTCTGTCTTCTTCTTTGCTGTTGATATTTAAGATTAAGGACAGATGATACAAACAAATTTTTTCTTTGAAAAAGATTAAATATTATGTCACAAGTTTAGAAAAATGGATGTTTCTTAGAATTTTTTCTCCTAAGAACTGGAATATGCAAAAGACTTGAAAAATATTATAAATATTTCAATGAAAAAACAAATATAAACAAATCACAGTCAATAAAGGTTCACAGGTGAAAAAAAATTCAGAATATGTTACCATGGTGCTAAAAGTGTAATATAAACATAAGAAAAATATACCAAGGCTTATAATATACATGTATATTACATGAAATGTATCGATAATCCAAGCGTTAAACAACACGCGCGCAATGCTACCGCTTTTTAGGTCTGAATCTCCCTATTTTTCATCACAATGGGTTAACATGTATGCATGTATGAAATTGCTTTTTGCTTAATGATAGCTGACAGCCAATTAAATACATCATATCTTGAAAAAAAAGTCATCTAATTCTGCTTAATTCTTTGATCCCCAGCCACCTTAAAACAAAAAGAAAATAATAATCAAGTACAGGATGAACCTACAAAAAGTCCTTTCATTAAGTTCTCATTTGGCTGAATGGCTAAGATTAATCCTGTAATTGTCAACCGTATCAGATGAATACAATACTAATTCAGTACATATCTGGTTATCTGTACTTATGTGACCTTTTGATATGGACCAAGTTCAAAAACACAAAAATAGATATTATATTGAAGGAACAAAAAACGAGATGAATAATATCATGAAACAAAATTTAAGTGATGTCGAGCTTGCGTCGTCATTTGACATGCACGGTTTTCACAGTCATTTCCTTTTTTGATCTCTGCCAACACCTCTCTAAAATATTAAACGTGAAATTAATTTTTTTAAATATGTTAATCTATTCATATTTCTATGAATTTCTTATATACATTTACCCTGATTTTATTAGATTAAAACAACGATTTCTTTACATTGGCTATCTATAGCTATATTTCGATATGCATTATCAAAATATTAAATACGAGATGTACCTATTTGTAATATAAACTGTTTATTGACATACCTTGTACCAATAATGCAGCAGATCATCACGAACAATCTGATGATTTTCATGATTTCTTTTAATACAATTTGGGCAAATTCGCTTATTGGTTTTCAGGTCTGCAATCTTTTCCTCTGGTAAGAAATAATTTTCATCTTCTTCAGTGATTTTTATTTCCTTACAAGGATATCCAACTTCATAGGGAACTTGGTGATGGAAAGTGGTGGTCAGCACCCTAAGCATTTGTTCAATTTGAATTCTGATCTTTTTTGTATCTGTGATTGATAGCTTGATCTTATTATCTGGAGTAAACGCTTGCAATTGAATTGACGTTTTATTAACAGCAATAGCAATGTTTATATCACCACCCTTTTCCTTGTAAAAAGCAATATTTTTACAGAGAAGGTCCTCACTCAAAAATTCCCACTTCGAAAAACATATAGCAACAAGTCTAAAGAAAAAGAAGTGTGGAATGTAAGTTTTGAAAGAAAAAAGCAAAATCGGGGTCCTATTTCCGTTATTGTACAAGACAAAACCTTCCTTTTTGAAGTCAGTCCTATTGATACTAGGGATGTAGTACAGGAATTCTTGTCCTTTTCCTGACTGTTTGGTTTCCTTTACTTCAACTTCCTGTGTTTTCATTTTTGCAAGGATACCAAGTTTTTCCATGTAAGGTATGATATGATCTTTTTCAAGAACATAGGATTGTTTTTTGTTTTCGCTCCAAATCTTGATTAGCGTTGAATCTGAAATCATCCCGTTATTCATGAAAATTTCCCATTCTTGAACCCTTCTGCATGCTGCGTGTGCGTGAGTTGGATCTGTAATGATATTTTTAAAAGCATCTACAAACCACTCTATGTCCAATATGATATTTTGATTAAGACCTTCTTCCGAGAAATATATTATCTGACCCACATCTGCAAAATATCTCAGCATGTCATCGAACTCATGATATTTTAAAAACTGAAATTCTTTCACATTTTGTAGGCTTTTCCTTCTGAAAATCCTCTTCGATTTGTGTTCTTGAACAAAATGTTCAAATATATACCATATTTTTGGAATTTGTTCACCCCAGTGCGGAAGATTTGTAGCTGTTTTAACAATACATTTTCTGATTTGTTCTATTGCCTCTTCCTGATGTTCATTCAATTCTCCATGTGGACATTCAATCTCGTAGTACCGTGTAGGCGAAATGTGATCATTTAATGTATGTTCTTTGGGCAAACATTTCTCCAGCGCGTCATAGAATGCAGTTTGGCTGGACGTGGTTTGTTTCCACTCCTGCAAAAGTTAATTATCTTTAATTAATATAAAAAAAAAACAATGGTGTCATTAAATTTGACAATGTAAATTACAAAGCTTAGCCAATTTGATGTTTAAAATGCATGGCGAATTTTTTAGCTTGGTATATTCTCAATGAATGTCAAATTTAATTTTGATTATCAGCCTGTTTGTGTAAAATTATTAATAATAATATGTTTTTTGCATGGATATGTAATTTTCCATTCCTGTGGTTAGAATGTAGTGACTGTAGTATATTTCAAATATATCTCAAGTTTCGGAGTTGGGACGTTATATAATGCATAATCTCAGGTTTTGGGGTTTTGCGTTAATTAGTTGTCAGCTAACATCAGAGATATTACGTGATTGTTATCACTGGTAGATGCTGCAAGTGTTTGTACACACCATTTCGTGGTAAGAAAAACATAACAATTTCGGATTATTACTCTTGATCAATGCTTAATAGGACTTTTCGTATATGCACAATTGATAACATATGTAAGTGGTGATAATGTAATTGTTGTGCAACTTCTCCAACGGGACCCTCACAAATTGCCATCGGGATACAACAATGGTGTTATTGAGATTAATCACTTCCAAAATCTGTCTGAATCCTTACCATATGTGTCATTTTAGAAACCGGGATTTTGGGACTAACCTACAGTACCTGATGTACCTGATGGAGTTCACCTATCTACAAAATCATGCAGTTCCGATCCAGTACCTATGGTCAAATACCTTAATAATATCAAATATGCGGTGATCAACACTTGCAGGAGACTAAGGCCAGTACAAATTAATTTAAAGTTAGATGTAATGATATACATGATATATGATCATAAATCATGTAATTCAATAGATGCATATGTATAGGACAAAAAAAAAACTAGTAACATATTTAGAAAGATTTCTGTTCTAAACATGCAAGTAAAAAAAAAGCTTCATGATATGTTTGTTTTTGATATATACTCCATGGGAACCTGCAGTACATTATGTCAAAATTTTCCATGCTACCGTATGAAAGTTATTGTTCGCAGTGTAAACTTACAGTATACATGATGTCAAAGTTTTCCATGTTACTGTCTCAAACTTAATTGTTCGCAATGTGAACTAGAAGTAAACATGATGTCAAAGTATTCCATTTTGCTGTATCAAAGTTATGTGTTCGCAATGTGAACTAGTAGTATACATGTTGTCAAAGTCTTCCATGTTACTGTCTCAAAGTTATTTGTTTGCAATGTGAACTAGCAGTATACATGATATCAAAGTATTTCATGGTGCTGTATCAAAGTTATTGGTAAGCTATGTGAACATGGTGAATTAGCAGTATGCAAGATGTCAAAGTTTTTCATGCTACTATCCATAACAAGGTGTAGATACAAATTGTAGAAAGTCATAGGATCTCCCAAATTTCATGTGTTTCATTTGTGTCATTAATAAATAACATATTTACAACAATACTCATTCTTGATTTTTCATTCAATGTGAAAAATAACAGAGCTGCGGGAAACTATGGTTTGATTGATTGGATATTGTTTGGTTTAAATTTGCACTATAATCATATGGTAAGCATAATGTAATATTATTGATAATTATATGTTTTATGCATGCATATGTAATTTTCCATTCCTGTGGTTAGTATGTAGTCACTGTAGTATATTTTATGTATATCTCAGGTTTCGGAGTTAGGACGTTATGTAAAGCACAGTCTCAGGTTTTGGGGTTTTGCGTTTATTAATTCTTAGCTAACGTCAGAGATATCACGTAATTGTTATCACTGGTAGATGCTGAAAGTGTTTGTACACACCATTTTATGCAAAAAAACATACCCTCCGCCACCCCGTACAACCGTCACTTAGGATAAACTTTACTTTGGGATGTATTTCATAATTTCTTTTGTTTTTTCTTACTTTTCAGCTTAAATGTTTGATATATTTGTTTTTTTGAGTATTGTTATGATGGTATTTTAATTCTTGGGATATCAATAACAAGGTGTAGATTCAAATTGTAGAACGTCATAGGATCTCTTAAATTTCATGTGTCATTATTAAATGACATATTTACAATAAAACTCATTCTTGATTCTTCATTCAATCTGAAAAAGTAACAGAGCTGCGGAAGACTTTGATTTGAATTTGCACTATTATCATATGGAAGGAATAAATATATTTTTACAGATAATCTAGATTATAAGCAAGAAACAAGCATTATGTATTAATTATGTAATAATACGTTACATCAACTGACATACTCGTTTTACCGATGTAGCATTGATGTAACTCAGCTGAATTTTATTTTTCCCTTGAGTTTTATATATATACTGTTTCTTATATTTCAACTCAATATCATTTATAATAAATTGCAAAATTTTGAAAGAAGAAAAGAATTCTTTCAAAGAAAAAAATTGTTATATGTGAAAGAGCAAGAATTACAAAAGATTGTCATAAGACGGAAAGAGATACACCATAAAAGATTTTTACCTTTACACAGTCATGATGAGAGGCAATCAGGATAACAGGGGTGGCTTTGGTGTCATTATTACGACTTTCTTTAGATTCCCCATCCTCACAGTAGGTTTTAATGGATCGCAGCCAAAACACAAAGTAGTCTTGCCAAAATAAATGCATTATCAACAGATCATGTAAAATAATGTTATTACATGTAAATAGTGATTCTAATTTATGAGTAATCTTAAAATGCCATGGAAGGCATAGTACTGTTATAAACAGACAAAACTACATCATATCTAACAGGTTCTCTTTGCAGAAAAAAACCTCTTTTACCTGCAAATGTCCAGTAATGAAATAAAGATCCTAAGGGACTGTGTCGGTCAGTGTCGTATGACATAGCTTTCTCCTCCAGATCTTTAGACATGTCAACCACCACGAGATAAAAGGCTCTTCTGGAGAGGTAAATCTGGTGACACGCGTAATACGCTACTTGTCCAGCAAAATCCGTCATACTAATAAGTTGTCTGCCATCTGTGCTGCTAGAAGTCCTGTCGGATTTTGTTCCATGTTTATCATAATCTGAAATAATGTAAGAAAAGAAGTGCAGATGAAAATACATTCCTATTCATAAAAAAATCATACATGTTTTAAAATACAGACTCTTAGAGAAGTTTTCACATGACATCCATTTTATCATCTTAACAGAATGGTCCTTTATGAAAACAAGCTATTAGCCTTTAAAAAATCTGCAATTTCTAGACAATTTGCATGCGTTTCTAATCGAAATTCAATTAAAAAGAATTCTAGATTTAGTGAAATTTCCCAATCTATAAACATATCAGCTTAACATATTTAAAAATAAATCACCTATTAACGTATCATCTTTAATTTCGAACAAATCCTCATGGATATCAAGACCGACGGTTGTCTCAGTTGGTTGTTTGTTTTCTTCTTTGTTTTCCCTTTGAAGTCTCCTAAGAAGAGTCGTTTTTCCTGCGCCTGCGCATCCCACTATCATGCCTCTGGCTCGACACATGTTTACACTGCCTTGACTTGAAATCTTGACGAATCTTTTTCTTGCATCTATGTCCCAATACAGTATTTCTCTGGGTATTTTCACTAAACATAACATGAGTCTAATTATAATTATCCTCTTAACTAGGACTGGGTATTGACCCGAGATTTCCTATTGCGATATATTGCGATATTTTTAACTGTATTGCGATTATATGTATTGCAATATTTTCAATGTAATTAAATGGCATTTTCTCACTATGTTTACTTTAATTTACATGCAAAATGTACATAACTATGATAAGTAACCAACACGGAAAAAATCTTATTGATTTCATTTAAGTTATGCTCTGAAATGTTCCCACAAAACAACTTCTGTCTTACTGTTTGGCTTAATAACAAACTTTATAAGTCCATTTTTATATTTGATGACAAAATTCCTTCATCTAAGCATATTGCCAATATGTCAACATTACAAAATCGTATTGCGATACGATATTTTTTGTCACTGTATCGCAATATATTGGAATATCGATATTATTGCCCAGTTAAGAGTCTTAACTGGCATATACATGTAAATAAATATTTTGTTAGGGGACTGGAAGTTGATTCTGAAGGGGCTGGGGGGCTGGCTATTTTCTCCAAGTCAAATTATTTATTTTCATATAGATGAAGGACACAATTTTATTTTCATCTTTACTAAAACAAATGTCAGACAAGCAAAATCGAAAAATAAAATCATCAATAAAAAACTCTAAATAGGTGGTGGTAGTGATGGTGAGGGGGGTGGGGTTTAATAGCTTTGGTCATCTCCAGAATATTTATTTTCCTGCCAGTCGAGGGCAGCTAATTACTTTCAACATTTTCGAGAACGGGTTATTTATTTCCCTTTGTCAGTCTCTACCTTTCCTCAGAATCAAATACTCGCCCCCTTTATGTTTTTTTGTCCCTCGCTGATTGTGGGATATATTAATTTCGGACTGTCGTTCCCTCCGTTTATATTTCTGTCTTTCTGTAACGCTTTCGTTTTAAGCCATATACCTTATAAGTAGAATTTTTAACGTGGATTTAATTTTGGCATTATTAGCGAGGGTGCTGACATTGCTAAAATTTAATATCGCTAAAAGATTAATTGGGTATTATTTGTCATAGCTTCTTTAGTTAGCATCTAAAAGACGCTAAAATTACTTCTTGCTAAAATTAAAATACCTTATTTTAGGTTGAAATCGATAAATTTGCGTCTCGCTAAAATTTCCACAAACGGTTTATCGAGAAGTTTTAAAGCTTTAGCAATTACATGTACATTTTACACAATAACTCCAAATGGCAAAAGAAGGACTCCTTTTGATTTTGAGATCAAAATTTCCAAGGTGTAATTTATAAATTAAAAGAATTCTGTCTGTTTTAAGGTAAAGATCTAGTAAATGAAAAATACCTAGTAGAAAGATTCATCAAATTCCAGAAATTAATTCCTGTAATGATGCTTTATAACGTTAGCTTGGTCAAATAAGGTGTTTCGGGTCAAAATTTTTAGGTAAAGAATATGAAAAACCATATTTTAAACAGTCATTTTCAATGAAAAATGAAAAAAAAACTCAAATTGAATGACATGAAAAATTGAAAACACCCTATTTTCTACATAATTCTGCTTATGCCGTAAAGTACGGAGAAAAAGAAAGTTGAAATGGATTATTATGTCATAATAATGAAGTGCATGTACACCAAATCGTTATAAAGTCATTTATCAGATTTTGTCCTTAAAACTTTTCCACACGTTTCTGTGCAATATCTTGAGAAGCATTTAAATTTGTGCAATGACGTTTTATACCTCGTTTCTCAATGGCCTATGGAAGATTTTGAAGTCAAATGTCTAGGTCGTAAATAATGAAAAGTCTGTCTATTTTGACACTTTTCCTCCGCACGTTTCCACGCGATATCCTGGGTAGCGTTTGAGCTCTCGTTGACCTATGAAACACCCCTATTTGATTTTTGGTGGTCAAAAGGTCAAGGTCGAAATTGATGTTCTGTGTCGGTGTAAAACTTTCAATTCCGGGAGATATCTCAAGCGGCTTTCAAATTTTGAAATTTTACGTTTTACCAAAACTTCGGATCCCTTTGTCCCCCTGCACGTATTAAAGTGTCCCCTCGAGCTATCGAGGTCAGCACATCTTTTTCCCTTCAGCGGGGAACACGGATTCTCTGAATAAGCTTGTTACAATGTACAATTAAAACTAATCTCTAAACGATTGTGTAAAAAAATCATCTTCATTTAAAATAAATCCTTTTCCCTCTAAATCCAATATGAAAAATAAAACAAAGGAAAAAATCTGCGAAATAAGTCATGCTGTTTAAAATTACTAGCATAAAAATGTTCATGTCTACGTCTATGGACTACCGGATACTTCCGATAACTGGGCCCGATTTACAAAGAACTTGTGTAAAAGACCCCCATTTAATTGTTATAATCATAAATGTTAAAACTACACTTAACTAACAGGGGTTACAATTAAAATAATTTTCCAATCATTAAATGTATTTATCAAACATCCACATGTAATAACATAAGATTTAATACTTTTGATTTTGCTTTTTTGAAAGATTACCGTTACGATGATTAAAAACATAAAAATTAATGTATTTTTATACACAAATCAAGAAAATAAAAGAGTTAATAAAGAGAATCTTATTAAAAAATGATGAAGATTCTCCCTGAAATATGGCATTTTTACTCGAGTGTCACAGAGGTAATACTACTTAAACCAGTGAACCACATAATTAGAGAAATGTCTTTGAGACGTTATACTTACAACGTTCACTGATCTTTCTATGAATCCTACCGTCAGACATGATACAGTGTGTGATGATGTCAAGCTGTAGACTGTCTATGAAGAGGTCGTACATCTCCTCCGGCTCGTACGGTATATACAGACATCTCTCTCGTTTACTCCTCTTATAATCCCAGGACCGGCAGTATTCTGAGATCACGTCACGTGACGCCGTGGTCAGGAAAAACTCCAGATCACTATCCTTCACCAGACACTCCGTAACAAAGGCGTACATGACGTCATGTCGGATGTCTTCTGATATAAACGTTATCACACCGTCACGTGTTTCTGTGATTTCATCAGGAAGATCTACCGAACCGTCATCAATAATATCAGGGAAATACCTCTGTCTGATTTTGTCGTTTGTGATTCTGTGTGATTGTTCAATGAAACTAATCCGATATTTATCAGATATAAGTAAACAATAAAGTTGACATCTGACTTCCGGTAGATAGCTAAGGATTTTATCTGAAATGACAAATAGAAAAATAAATTATGAATCACCAAACAAATTAATTAATAAAATAAAATAAATAAATTGTTAACATTTAGTCTAACTATATGGCATGCACTCCAATCTTTTTCTTTACACTGTATGTACACGTATGTATTCATTCCTATTGAAGAGATGTTTAAGAATGTGAACTATCCCACCCACCCCCCACCCCCACTACTTAATTTTCGAATTGCTACTTTTAACCATCGCTGAATAAATGCGATTAGAAAGATGAAGAGATTTATTACAAAGGACAAGATAGGGTAAAAACGGTATTTGGGCCCCCGATTTTGGGTGTCTTTCAGAATGATCCAACAGTTTACCCATGAAAACCTGTTTCCGCCCCTGCCCCAAAATGAGTTTTGGTTTTAAGATTTGGGATATACAGGGGGTCATAGTGAGGTCAGGAAATAGGTCAATTTTCGAAATTTCTCATTTTTATGCAAATTTTCACTAATTTTACAGCATATTTTCTTTCGGAAAACATAGAGCACACAATTGCCTACCGACCAAATTTATATATTTTATTCACTGATATCAGATGCAGTTTATGTGTAAAAATCTCAGCTAGGAAAGCGTGTGCTCTATGTTTTCCAGAGAGAAATGTATCCCAAATATGATGAAATTCCACCAGAATTGAGGAAATTCGGGAAAATGTCCTATTTCTGCACCCTCTAGTGGCTTCCATGTAGGCTTTGAATCAAAATTAGTGCTTGTCTTAAAGTAAGCATCATTTTACCTTCTTAACTACAAACTATCACAATTTTACCAGTGTTCTGATTTTTATATCAAATAAGGGGCCAGATTCGGCTGTTACCCTATCTTGTCCTTTAAGAATAATCTGAAATACGAAATTCAATACAAATCTGTTAAAAATGATAGTTTTATTCTTTATAATAGCTATAAATTGAAATAACGTTTAGCTTCGTCGCCCGCGAGACACAGTGATTCGAGCATCTAAATTCCAGGAGTAGGGAGTTCATTCTTTTAATAGCGACACCGCATTATTTTCTTGTTTGTCGGACATCTGATGTCAAAAGTATGAGAGGGAAACAATTATGTAATAATATTTTTACTTTTTTGAAGGAAATAATTTTAGGTGGAACTTGAACAAAATTGAGCGGAGGTATATTCCCCCTACCTTGTTTTTCTTTTTTTAGAGTAACATATTGCAGAATGATGAGGAGTACGAAAAATGGAGAGTAAATAAAAGAAAAGAAATATCAATAAGACATTGTAATTAAGCGATCTTGCATTGGGACCATATATACAGTGTACACAATCATGTTTAGAAGGATTCGCAGAAACTGCAGGAAAAGACGGGGGAGTGGGGATGAGTACATGTAACTGTAATATTTCATATCTTGTATTGAAAGATACTTGTAACGGAGCTGAACCCCCCCCCCCTTTCTTAAAAAGTCTACGGAATTTTATTTCCATCCTCTGTCATATATACTAGGGTTGTCCCGTAAAATCGTGGACAAAGCGTTTTTCTCGAAAAGTAATAGTCGCACTAAGCTGAAAATTTCAGTAAATGTTTATTTATCATATTTAAGTGCATGATAATTTTTTTGATAAAATACAGGCAAAAATAAAGATTTTATTAAGCTTGAATGTGCAAGGGGTATTGTCCTACGGCGCACGGTCAAAAAAGTAAGGTTTTATTAAAGAATACACAAGTTTGAATTCAAAATATTTTTTTTAAATACGTAAGATTTGGATTAAATTTATCCTAATTCAATTCCACAATCAATTTTGTAGTCTTTGTAAAAAAAATTAAGCCATTTGGTTAATTTTTGGCAGTTTCTCGAGCATTCGAAATGAGAAAGTGGTAAACACAACACACAAAAAGTGGCGACGTTTTATGACGTTACGGCGCACCGGAGAGCAGTTCAGCTTTAATTCGATGTTGTAATGACAATTTTAGAGACTTGAAATGACCAAAGAAGAAAAAAGATTATAAAAATATCACCATATCTTAAGTATACAAATGAAATAAAAGTTTTCTTAGCGAAGTCTTTTTTGATCGAGTCCCTGGAGAGTAAAACACATACGGACAAACTTCTTATGTAATAGCAAAAGAAGCTGTCACAATAGACCGCCGATATGAGATTTTCAATTAGTTGAATGATGGTGAGAATATTGTCCGTAACTTACTAATAAATCTTCAGAAGATCGCATGAGGGTGCCAATTGGTTCTTCGACTGTTTATGGAGACTAAAGAATGTGTATCAATGAATTCGAAATTCCTTAAGTTTAGTCGGACTAATCCAACTTCATTTTCAGCAAAGATAAAACGTGACGCCATTTTAGCCACTTTGACGTTATAATCCATGCGCCGTAAGGTGATACAATACATGGCATAAAATCTCATAATTTCTTTATTTATGCATATATTTATCTGAAATTTGCTGTGTGTATTATTAAAATATGTACTAAATAATAGTGAAAATTTCAGAACGCAGTGATGTTTATTTTTTTATTTTACTAGACAACTTGTCCACGATTTTACGGGACAACCCTCGTATATATTTCTTTTTAGCTTCTAAAGGGATTTCTGTATTTTTGTGCTCAAGCAATTAAAAAATCAACGTATTGGACAGCACATTCCTGTCTTGGTCAATGAATACCCAAATCAATAGATTCATGTTTCTGCACCCCCCACAACCACAACCCCCACCCCCCTCCCTACACATAGAGACACACATGAAGACATACATCCGGTCCACTGAAAAAGCACACTTTCTGAAAAAGAGGATGACAGCCAGAAAGAAAACAAGAGGCCCTTGGGCCTTATAGGTCACCTGAGTATTGTGAAGCAACTTTCACAATTAAATTTGGTTCGTGCTTTAAACCAGATGCCATGAAATTGACAATGCACAATTTTGAAAGAGGTACCATTGCTTATCATAATTATTAACTTAGGATGCTTGCTCTATTTACTTAATATCCAGAGGTAGATCAGATAAACAAAGAGAAAATGCACTTCCACTTTATACCATGTTGTGCACCTCACCCCAAAGAAACCACTGACCCAGGGTCCACATATTTCAAAGTTTTGCAAATTTTATCATAAAATGGTTGATTAATACCAAAGAGCAGATTTCAAAGCATAGATTTATTTATGTACCCCCCCCTCCCTCTGACTCAGGGGGCATATAAAAAAACCACTTTGCTAGATGCACCTTTCTTCATCATAAATATATATACTTGGATCACTGGCAAAAAACCCAGAAGCAAAGGAAAAAAAAATTTCAAAGAATTGATGTATTTTTACGATATAATCAACAGAGCCCCACCCTAACACCAGAACCCCTAAACCTAGGGCCATAAAATTCAAAATTTTGGAAGAGGCACTCTTGCCCATCATAACTATGTGCCTAGTTAATTTATTTAATACTCAGAAGCAGAGAAGAAGATTTTCAAAGAATAAATGCATTTTCACTATATAATCAATAGAGCCCTGCCCTAACACCAGAATCCCTGACCCTGGGGCCATCAAATTCACAAATCTGGAAGAGGCACTCTTGCTCATCACATCTATGTACTTAGTTAATTTATTTAATACCCAGGAGCAGAGAAGAAGATTTTCAAAGAAATAATGTATTTTCACTACATAATCTATATAGCCACGCCCTAGCACTTGGTAGAGGACTCAATGCTAATCACATTCATGCCACCAGTTTGCCTGTTTGATTTCCAGGAGTAAAATAGAGGATTTTTAAAGATTGCAATAATTTTAGTGGTTTTGGCCCCATCCCTCAGGCCCCAGGAGGGTGGGGACCATGGAATTCACAATTTTTGTTTCACTCTACTCATAGATGCTTTATACTAAACTTGGTTGAAATTGGTTCAGTGGTTTCAGAGAAAAAGCTGAAAATGTTCAAATGTTAACAAACGACACACGACGGACGACGCATGACGGACGAAAACAAATAGCAAAAGGTCACCTGAGTTACTCAGGTGACCTAAGAATAACTAACCTTAAAAAAATATCTTAACTTATTTTATAATTCTGTAAATATTAACGATGAATAGTGCTTGTAAATGCACATAATACTGTAATGATGAGTATGTTTGTTTGTTGATTAAAACGTCTCACTTTAGAATATTTCACTGATACACTGTTACATAGACAAAATCATTCGCCGCAGGGAGCTTCAATTTGACCTTGGCACTGAAGGCCACTGAGCAGTGAGGGATCATTTTCGTGCCAGCAACTTCCACAACAAGGGACCATGGCACCCCATTTTTATGGGTCTGATTTAAGAACACGTGTTCACGTCCCTCAGTGGGATTAGATCCCGTGACATATATATAAGGATCAGACGAGAACTATTCATTTCATCGTTACTGGATTTTCTGACGTAAAAGTGAATTTATGTGCTAATCGAGGCACAGGCGATACTTTCTAAATGACCAATCAGCTAGATGAAATTCGTTACGAGTGAGTATCACAAAAATACTATGGAAACATGCTTGGAATATTATTTTTTTCCGATAATTTTTTATGCATTTGAGTCACAGACTAGACACGGATCTACATTTGTTAAATTTCCGAGATCACAGTAAAATTTATATACAGTTACAAACAATTGATAGAATATACATGATATACACTAGTTTAAAGTCTTGTAGCGTGTTTGGTGAGCAGTTCGCTAGGTCTACTGTACATGTACTCCCAAGTATCGGTGAATACAAGTTTTGTGTGAATTTCTTGTCATTAAAACCGTAAATGCTGAATATCCATGCGTATTATAAAGTATAAACAGCCTTGGCTGACCATTATTAAAGTTTGAAATATAGAAAAGGATAACAGGTTAATTGACCTAAACCACGTGTCTGTGATAAAATGTAAACGTAACATGTTTAATTATTCTGTTATCGGATTGGACAATATTTAAACTATGTGCGAAATAATAACAACAGCCATATAAGGTCTTCTTGGACACGCATATCTCTTAATCGCAAC